TAAAATAATAATAATAAACTTGCAGATTAAGCAGATTAAGATATCTTACCCTATAGAACAGGGGTGTCAAACTTGCGGCGTCACAGCGGCGTCACATGACATATCACAACTTTTTTCATCTTCGCTAAACCGGACATGGACGCATCTGGCTCACGGGCTGAGAGTTTGACAACCCTGCTATAGAAAATCAAGAAGAGGAATCCAGAAAACGTATTCATGGTAATAGCCTCTTGCACTTTGGAGTAGCTTTGTCCCTGAATTTAGGATCACCCCTTCTAAAACTATCATTTTTGAAAGCCATTAAGGCTGTACTTTTCTAGTGGACCTGGGAGATAGGAAATGCAATATAATGGATACCACATCTTCCATGAAATGTTGCATAATCTAATTCTGAGGCCACATGATGCACTATTATATATTTATGAGGCTTCTTTTTAACATGTTGCGATATATATGTTTCTATTTTATTGTAAGCTACCTAGAATCATAAAGGTAGGTGGTATAGAAAATTATGTATAAGTAAAATCATACCACAAATAGTATTTGCATATAAAGTATACTTATTTTGTGGTTTGGCTTTATGTTTTTAAATTTTAATTGGATTTAATTCTCACGTTAAACTCCTTTATATAGTAAAATATTATATTTATAAGGAAATTCAGTTTTATTTTTATGATCATCATATTGTTAGTGAGATTCAAGTTCTTTAAGAAGCAGAGAGGAACTATATTTCTCTTATTTATCTTAGGACATTGGTGTTATTTTTATGTAACTCATATGAGAAATGTTTCCTTATAACATGAAATTACACTTTCAAATATTTAGTTTGAAAAAATGCTATATCAAAGAAAATTGAGTAAAACAATATATATTATTAAATTATACAAGAAAACGGGGTGATGCATATTATGTCCTTTAAATGAAGGGCACCTGATATACACATTTTTCAAATCATATCAAGTGCATTTTGATAGCATTTAATATTTAAATAAATATTTTTGCTTCATGCTGCTGCGGAGTTAGAAATCAACCCAGTTTTGCAATAGCTTGTATTTAAATGTATACTAAGCAGATAGACAAAGATCTGGTATAATTTTTGGAATACTGTAATAAAGAAATAACTGTTCACATCCAGGAGATATGACAATGAAATAATATTAAAGTCAAATAGCTCCTTAGAATCCCTTTAGAAAGAAGCAAGATCCATGTTTCTGAATTCCTGATTTGTTGTAAACACTTAATCACCTCCCTTTGCTTTTACAGACACAAACTATTATCTAAATCCTGGATATTGTTATCTTCTAATAATGTATCATGCAGTCATTTGAACCTGAGACTTTCTGCTAGTAAAATATATCCTCTAATCTACAGTTCTGAGTAACTCCTGATTTAGCAAAGTAACTAGCTCTTCTGATATAAAACTTAGTCTCATTTCCATTTTTGCGGATACCTGATTATTATTACTATTTGTTATTGTTATTCTTTTCTGGATTTTTGGACAACTTTATAATATGTGCAGACTGTAGTTCTGAAAACTATACTATAATGTATTCCTGATAAAATTAGTCAAAATGGCTAATTCTTTCCTAGGAATGTTTGCTGTAAAGATAACAGCACTATTTACATAGGCAGGAATTAACTAGGTGATGCTTCCCTCTCAGTTTTCTATTATATATTTACTGGCCACCTAATTCCAGTGAGAAGCGGAATATTCACAAATTAGGGATTTTCTATTCTATTTCAGTGATTTTTCTGAAAAAAGCACATTCAGTTGACAATTTTGCATACAAATAGATTGATTTCAACTCATATTTTCAAATGCCAGTAGAATCGGTTTATTTTTCAGTCTAAATTAAAATTCGTCCACTTTTTTTTAAGCTTATAATACCAGATGTTTATATCTCATGTTTAAAATACACTTTTGTTTATGTATATGTATTATGTATAAACAAACTTAAATAGATGAAGAATTCAAATTAAATTAAAATATGATTTAAAGTAGTGCATGAAGTGTTTGCATACAGTGACTGATTCCTTTAATCATAACTCAGAGTTGAAATGGTTTCTTGCTGAGGAAGTGAATACTTCAATACAAACAAAGGATAGAATTGAAACAAACATTTAAGAAAGGTCAAAACATCTTTATATGTTTGCTTGTCTTCTTTGGTTAAAAATTCAGAAAATACAGAAAGCAATGTAGATTGTGTTAAGAACTTCTAATTACATGTGGAAGAACCAATGTGAATATAAAAATTCTACAGGGGGCTGGTGGTTGAGGTGGTTGGCCTCAGATGATTAACAGGAATGTTAAAGCTTTTTTAAAAAAAATCAAAAGTTGAAGTGGCAGAAACATTCAAAACTTTTTAAAATGTTTCTGAATCCAAATTCAGAGACCAATTCTACAGTGTTTTCACACAAAGTATATTTTGGCTTATCAAGACTAACATTTCAGGAAGAGATGACTAAAATGCCTATGTTCGTGTAGAAAGAAAGAAGTTAAAGCTGAAGGATAAATAATTTTATATCTCTGACGTCTCATTTCTACATTTAGAGATAGTAGATTTTTCAGCCATGTTTTAAAATATACAAAAGTTACCTATTATGTCATTAATCTGCCTAACATACTTCCAGCTTCAAATTCAGTTTGTGAGAATATTTCCTCTTATAGAATAAATTAGAATATCCATATGAATACCTTTTTATTTTCTGAGAAGTGTATCTTTTCTCACTAAAACATATCTGCGCTATACTTCCTATAAAACACTAATTAATATGCAAAAATAAGGAGGCATCCATTGAATTGCAAGATTGTCAGAATGACAAAATGGATCATGCTTTTAAATTTTGTATAACTAAAAGACTTTGCAAAGGTTTTTCAAACCTTTAAATCTGAGTGCACCTTTAATTGTCCAGTAAATGCTGCGTAGACCTATATTATAGTATTTAGAAAGTAGTAAGCAATTTCCCAATTTACATTTTGAAAATAGACAATAACATGGATGTAAAATACCCCATAAATCCATCATTAAATTATTATTTTTATTCTAAGGAATATTTTTTCGTCCAACAAATGATTTAATGTTTGCAATTAGCATTGATTCAGGGTCCATCCACTTCAGATAAAAAGCAAACTAATAGCCTTTAAATTTTTAAATATATTTTCAATGAAAAATATTGGATTAAAAATGCACATAGTGACTTTCAAACGATATTTGGAGTAGATGGTTTATCTTTTTTCTCAGCCAATTTATGGATTTGTTAAGAACCTTTTGGTTATCCTCAAATATGCTGACTGTTTTCTTGGAACAAGTGGTTCAAAATTATTTAAGTATTTGTTATTTAAATGCTGGATCAGGCTGATTTCAAATGTATTTACCTCAGAAGTTTATTTGATTTCAAGGGTACTAATTTTTCAGTAAGTAAGCATACAGTATATTTATTTGAGTATATGTTATCTATAAGTTCAATAGTTTTAAGCATGGTTAACATTTTTAGGCCAATATTATTTATAATGAGCACTTACATAAATGGATGGGTAAATTACCTCCTATCTAACAATAGATATAGCCAAATCATTGCACTAGGGCCAGTCAAAGCTATGCCACAAATTTCAGTAATACAATGGTTGTTGAAAAATATGGTACTGAATTGTAAATACTGCACTACCATCTATCATAACATCTGAGATGGTGATCTAAGGAAGCTACTCTTCCCAGTCATGTCCACCCATCCATTAGAGTGTGGCGTCAAGGAATGTTGGGTCCTGTTCCCAATGGAGGTATAGGCAGGATCCAGAAGAAGTGCCTTCTCTGTGGCTTCTTCCCTTTGGAATATCATCTCTTCAGAAATTAGACTGACTCCTACTTTGACACTGTTTCATAAGGCCCTAAAAACTTTATTTTGCCAGTGAGCCTGGGGAACCCAGAATGTGATGGAGCCCATCAAATGGCTTATTTGACTTTGTTGTTGCCAGGGGTGGATGGATGGGGGGTTAGTTTTCACCCCCCATACTGTGTTTTTATTGTTTGTAAGCTGCCTAGAGTCACTGTGAGAGAGTAGGCAGCTATATAAATTTTCTAAATAAAAAACAAATAAATAAATAATACATTTTTACCATTTTTGACATTGTTATTTCATAAGGATAATGTAAAAGATTTATACCTTCCCATCTTTTTGGCTGCTGTCTTTTTTCCCCTCACTCCAGCTTTAATAGAAGACCAAAAAATTCTAATATTGTGCTGATTAATATGCAATGACCTAGCCTATCTTTTTGTATGTCAAAAATCTTGTATTTGAGTTCAATTGTCAATCATATTTGTGATATGGCTGGCAATTACCAGTGTATCTTTTTCCAGAATAGAATTGACACATTAAACGAAACATCAGTATAAGTTCATAGAATAAGTGATTTGTGGATTGCATGTATCTGTATTTGCATGCAGCTTCTTTTTTCTGTGTGTTATATAAAAAGCATTCTGTGTTTAATACAAAGGCCATTGGCAGTGTTCTTAAATCTAGAAAATAAGCTTCATTATTTAAAATAGTTAACATGTTTAGACTCAAGACTTAAAACAGTGTTCACTTATAAAATTTAAAGGAGGCTTAATTGTATGGCACTTATCTAAGGACTTTGGGGACTTCCTTTTCATAGATTAAAAAAATATAGCTGAATTAAAAATTATAACAAGGACTTCAAAGAATACTATATTATTATGTAGCAATATATAGAAAGATTGGCAGTAAAATTTTACCTAACAACATTGTTATTTACTTTGCAAAACTAAAGTTAATAACAAGTAGAAATACTGTGGTAGTTTATGCTGCATCTTCATTGGATATACCCCCCCCCCCCACCATCATTCAGACCTTGCATAGCAAGTCGCATAAGTATTTTGTTTCTTGGGGTAGGTTTTTCCATCAAGCTCCTGTTCATTAAAAAGTATTTCAATACTGATTTTTATTACTGTAATCAAAATGAGAACCGTTGAAAAGTGAAAAACTTAATTTTGTTTTTTGTGAATGTCCTCATGCCTAACAATTTTATAGATAACCCAGTAGAAAATGTTGAATATAAGAAAGGCTAAAGGGAAACAGGCTCGGGATAAGGTATCAATTTTCTTGGCCCGATCAATGAATACCTTCCTCATTTCTTCAAGAGTAAGGGATGCAGACTGAACTGGATTATTGGACCCTTTTGGAACCACTCCATCCTTTGCTTGTATACATGGTGGGCTCATTCCATAGCCTGTAAAATTGAACCGATTCTCCCTTATATCATCATCCTATTAAAGAAAGAAAAAAAGAAAGACAGAAATAGAATTCTTGAACTTAAATATTTTTGTCAAATTTACATCTTCATTTAAAAAGCAACTCTGTATTTATAAGAAATTTTTCTCTTTTCTTTTTCTAAATAATATAAATGGGGAAAGATGGTATCCCTTGTAAAAATAAAGTAGCTACTGAGAACAAAAACATTGCTGCTGCAAAGTGCAGGAAATGTTGCTGCTTGACTCTTTAATTTTGAAAGAGGGTTCTTCTGTCTTTCCCCCTCCATTCCTTGTCCTCTTATCTCTTACTTATCCTCTTGCTTTTATCATTTTCCCCATTTCTCTTTTGCTTCTTTTCATGTGCAGTAACTCCTTTTCCTTGCTCTATCCCCAACCTGCTTTTGGTTCCTTTCTTTTTTTTCCTGCAAGAAAAATATACTGGGAACATATGAGAGTGATTTTGTTTGTGAGAAATAATGTTTACTATTGGCAGAAAGTTAATATATAATTTCTGGAATATAAAGTCAACCTATATATACTCTAAATTAGTATACAATTTTGTCACATATAAAAATGGATGGTGTACTCATATAACATGAGCTTCTCCTTTCAAGTTTGTTAATATGGTGTTGTAGAAGATCCATACTGCTTAGAACAGGAGTGACCAACCTTGGCAACTTTAACACTTGTGGATCTCAACTCCCAGAATTCTTTAGCTACTCATGCTGACTGGGGAATTCTGGGAGTTAAAGTCCACAACTCTTAAAGTTGCCAGGGTTGGACACTCTGGTTTAGAATATGACTATACTTTTGAATTATGTGCCACAATGAAAAATTAATAACTCTCTAAAGAAATATAGACTTAGTCACCATGGGGCAGAGAAGAAAGGATGATAATATGGGGAAAATGGTGTGATATATATGTGCAATGTTGGATCAAAAATAAGTATTTGCTTTCTGATTAAAAACTGGCCATTTATTAATGACACTGAATGTATGATCAACATTTTATGATGTATTTAAAATTGCACTGAATTATTTTCTCCATTAGTAATATATATTTTAATACAATTTTTTATGTTTTTGTTGTATTCTTTTTCAGTCTCTTTTTTGTGTATTAAAGCAATACAAAATAAAATACAAGTGTCAAATGCACACACATTAAAAAAAAGAATCTCAAGAGTTGGTGTCAGAATCAGTGAGATGGATATTGGACATTGCCCAAGTTTTTCTATAATTTTATACTATTTTTTAAAGACCACTCTTCCTTTGTGAGATGGAATAATCTTAAATTCAGAGATATTTTCTTTTCAAGAGATGGTGGGTATCTATTGCCACAGTGAGCTGGGTAGAAAACAAAGTTAATAAATAAATATGGTATTTAAACAAAATTTACAGTGTCTACAGAATGTGTTAAAAGAGTAAAGATGTTTGCTGGGACAGTACATTGATGTTCTACTTTTCATATAGTACACATAAAAAAAATCATCAGAGTTCCAGTTGCATAATTGAGGCCAGCAATGTGAAACTTTTTACTATATTCTGTAGATATTTTACCATATTCTATAGATGTATTTGGCTTCTTTCTTGCCTCATTTTTTATAGTTTTTTCCCCCAGCTGTATCTTGTTTCCATTTTGATCCAAGTTCTGTGATTCAAAAAAATGTAAATTAATCCTATCTATTAAATAATTGTTTTTTTAAGGGCAGAGCTGGTGTCACGATGATATAGTGTGCGATCTTGGAGGTCTGAGATCGCCGCCGATATCTTTGCTCCTGGACGATCCAAATGGATCTAAACCGTCCCGAAGAGATGGTGAATGTAAAGAGCGCATCCTGTCGATCCCAGGGATACCGCAAAGTCCCTGGTAGATCCAGGAGAAGCTCTTTTTGCCAGCGGCAAAGAGGCAGCCATTAAAGCTGCTGAAGTTGGTACAGCTCCGAAATGGAAGAGAATGGAAAGAGCCGGTATGGTGAGAATTTTTTCTTTACTTTAAGATTTGAAAGGACACCTTAAGGAAAAGAATCAATCTGTAAAATCTTAGACAGAAGTGATTAAGAGGTGATTTTAAACAGGAAGTCAAACTAATATTTTCTTTCTTTTTTCTTTTGCTGGACTCTTCATATACGATTTTTTATTTTGAAACTGGACTGGTGTTTTTTTTCTACCTTATTTTTTCTTTTTTTTCTTTTCTCCTTTTTGACTTTATAATATTTTAGGCTAGAGATTCCCTTTTAGTCCCTTTTAGTTTTTTAAAAATCTTTTTTCCTTTTTAATCAATTTTTATTATATTTTGTTTGGAAAAGGAGGGGGAAAGTGAAAGCATAGGAAACTTTGTAACACTGCCACTAGAGGCTTAGAAATATTGTTTCTCTCTCTTTTTTTCTCTCCACCAGACAAAGCTGAGAAAGAATTGAGACTTCTTTTCAAGGACTTTGAGCCTGTTTGATAAGATAGAGCGAAGAGCATGGGACAGTATTATTGCAGGTGCTCTTCTGGGTTTCTATCAGTAGCTGCAGTCTGGTGTTGAAGTTTACAGAAAAAAGACGATAAGACTCTAGAGAAGAGAGTTATAAAACTTAACAAAAGGTGCAGTGTGTTCTTTTTCTTTTTTAAGCTGGGCTATTCCTTACTTTAACAAACCCCCTCCTTATCAGTTTATAATTTGTCATACTCATTCGGATCTTTGGCCTTTTGGAACTTGCTTTTGTCTTTCTTTTTGCTTTTGGAGCCTAATTTCTACTTTTGCATTTCATTTTAAAGGACAAGTCTTAGTATTGATGTTCTCTTTTTTTTCCTGCCACTTACAAGATTTAACAATTTTTCCTTTTTTTGTTTATGGATTTTTTCTTCCTTTTTTTGAGTTTTTACTGTTATTTAATCAATCGATTGGATTAAGGTGTACAAGAACCTGAAGAAACTTTTTTTAATCTTGTTTCTTTTTTTCCACTATTTTTACTTGGAATTACAATTAGTTATTACACGGGTGGATTAAGGTCTAGAAGAACCTGAAGATTTTGAATTGTCTGAAATGAGCAGGAAACTAACAGCAGCTGGTTCTTCAATTCCTACTTCTTCCTTTTCACCATCTGGAGGACAACGCTCAATACAGATGATGTTACAACAAGAAAAAGAACAGGAAAAGGTGACACTGCAGATGATAATGCAAGGAATTCAAAACATACAAGCAAGAACAGAGAATATTGAAAAGAGAATAGAAAAAACTGATGAAAAGGTGGAGAATATTCAACAAATGATGATGAAATAGGAGGAGAGATTCCAAAAAATTGAAGAAGAAGATAAACAAAGAGATAAGAAGATTGGAGATATTGATGGCAGATTAACTGTGGTTGAACAAGATAAAAGTGGGATGCTGAGATGTGAGATAGACAGATCAGAATTTTATCTCAGATTCCAAAACATAGAGGAAGAAAAAGGACAAAACTTAGCTGAGATAATGATAGAAATCTTGGCTAAAGCTCTGGAAATAACCAAAGAGAAGATGATGGATGGAATAGACGAGGTCTTTCGAGTCTTCACAAGATATGCAATGAGAAACAGTCTACCAAGAGAAGTTCACATCAGATTTACAAAGAAAGCCATTAAAATGGACCATTGCAGGTGGCAAGAGAGAAAACATTGAAATATAAAGACAAGCAGATTGTGGTCCTGAAACAAGTACCCAGAAGAGTGAGAGAGATGAGAAGAGAATATCAATTCCTGACTAAAATTCTACTTAAAAAAGAGGTGAATTATAGATGGTTGATTCCAGAAGGTTTAATGTTCACATGGCAGGAACAGAGACACAGAATTTATTCAATTGAGAAAGCTGAATTATTTTATACAGAATACTTTGGAGGGAAAGAGGAGGAGACAGAAAAAGAAATGTCACTAATTGAATTCCAAGAGGACTGCCAAATAGCGACTGAAAAAGAAGAAGGTGCAGTAGGCAGAAAGGTAGAAGCTAAAGAACAACGCAAACCAAGATCTATGAAAGCTGCCAAACCCACCTATAAAGTATAATCATGGAAGAGAAAAAACTGATTACAATTAACATAAATGGACTTAACTCAGCTGTTAAAAGAAGGAAAACTTTCTATAAATTAGAGAAATTAAAATTTGATATAATCTGCCTACAAGAAGCACATATCAAAAAGCAACATGAACAACTGTTGATACAACCAAAGCTAGGGAAAATATTTACTTCTTTGACACAATGTAAGAAAAGAGAAGTGGGTTTATATATTAAAGATATTATCCCAGCGAAATTGATCCTTACGGATGATGATGGAAGATTACTAATGGTGGAAGTAATGGACAATAATATGAAAACACTCCTGATTGCAATATATGCCCTGAATGACAATCAAGAAGAATTTTATAGAAAATTATATATGAAAATAATTGAACTGGACTATGCTAGTATCATTATGATAGGAGATTTTAATGGAATTGTAGACAATAAATTGGACTATACAACACAGAAAACAACAAAGCAAAGCTGAAAGACTCTCCCTAAATCCTTTTTTAAAATGACAGATGAAATAAATTTAAAAGATGCATGGAGAGAAAGAAATGCTAAGACCAAACAATTCACCTTCTATTCAAACAGACATTTATCATGGTCCAGAATAGATATGATATGGATGTCAACAGAATTGTTAGCTAATATTCAAGAAATAAATATTGAAACAAGTACTTGGGCAGATCATAATCCAATGACAATTAAATGGAAAGGACAAAAAAGAAGATCTAGATGGACGTTAAATAATACTATTTTAAAGGAAAAAGACTTCACACAGTGGATGGAGAAAGAATTGGCTTTTTTCTTTAAAGAAAATAAAAAAGAAGACACATCAAAGTAGAATGTTTGGAAATCTTTTATTAATAATTTAGAAATATATCATGCATCCATCGAAACTTAGTTGTACTTGTAGTTAAAGGTCAACTGTAAAGTTTATGTGCTTCTTCATTGGAGAAGGATCAGTCTAAATGCTGGATTGGACTATTAGTCTATTTTTTATGTTATTAATTTATATTTATTCATGATATTTTTTTATTTCAGCAACTTCAGAGATAACCTTAAAGAAGTTAGCAAAATGTTAATTATAGCAGAGAAAAGAAGAAAACAAATTTGAAAGTGATTCTATCTTTTAAGAAGGACAGAAAAGAAAATGTATCAGGTTTTCCAGATTATGTATCAATAGAATTCCAGTGATAATTCTTTTTTTTCTTAAACCAGCCTGCCTCAAAGGGCTGATGTGTTACTTGAACATTAAATGTGGGGAAAATATCTTGGAATGTGAACATGACCTATCAATGCGATGTGGCTACAAAGAAAAAGGTAAATACTGTTGAACTGTAGGCCAGGAAAAGGCAATAAGACTCTTTAAATTCTTGAATAAAAGGATGCCACAGGAAGATATGCTCTCTCCTTTATTCCAGAATACAAGATACATAATAGTTTATATTTAATTAACAGGAAGCCAGACTCCATTGGGCATTAGAATAAACATTAACGTAGTAAAAAGAATTTGTCAATGGAATCAATTAACCAGAGAGGTGGTAGGCTTCCTTTCACTGAGTGTGTTTAAAAAAAAAGCTAAAATAACCATCTGTTGGAGACATTTTAATTTAGATTCCTGCACTGAGTAGGATATGAATGCCCACTTCAAACTTTATGATTGTGATTCTAGTTAATAATGGGCCAATTTACATTTTAATTTTGGCAAGTCATCACATCAAAGAGTTTGTCATGCCATTTCTTCATGACATATGTTATATTCTTAAAAAGCCACTGTTTTTAGAAGATTTTTGCATATACAGTATGTATATCAATGAATTATCCACAAGTGAGCTTGATTAAAGATGTTTTACATCAAACTGTCAAATGAATACAGCCATGTAGGAAATTGGTTTGAAAACCTGCAGATGGAGCCAAACCAATTCATAAAAATTGTGTAAACTTAATATAGCAATTCACATGTGTGGCTGCAATTCACATAAATGCTTTCATGGATTTGCTGCAACTACTGAAGTCCACAAAACCAAGAGAAGGAAATTTAAAGTGAGTATCATTGTATGTGTTACTTTATTTTGTATTTTTTGTTTAGTATTTTTTTTAATACTATCCAGAGTTATGTTATTTGAATTGGGCTGAAATATAGATCTTTTGAATGGATGGATCAATGGTCAGACAGACAGATAAGTTTGTATGGGTTACTAACAAATAGATATGAATCAGACACATAAAATGAGAAATGAACTGCTTATTGTATATCTGAAAGTTGTTTTTCTTTTAAAACATGGTGCTTTTATTGTACATCATAACAATGTTAAAGACAATAATGTAAAGTAATAGAATAGTCTTGGCTTAATGTGAGCAATAAATGCTTAGTCTAAAAAGAATGTTGATATTATCTTCATCTGCAATTGGCTGACCAAAAGAACAGGCATGGCATTCTTGGTATAATATAGTATACTGCTATATGATGTACATATGCACCATTCCCCAAAGGATTTAAGGGTTCTGTATCAAATATGAAGTTGTTACTTAGCATTATCCTTTTTATTATTCATAATAGTCTCTTAAGCATAGTTAGCACAATAATAATTCCATTGTTGTTTCTACAATTGTCAGTATATAGGTAGACTTATCTAGACTTAATTGCTAAGCATAGCAGGGTTGGGAATGGAATGGAAAAGACCAATATATTCTGGAGACTGAAACACTGCCAAAAAAAAGATGATAGTAAAACACAAGTTTTTTGGGAGCATCCTGAAGTACCTGCCTGAGTAAGATTTAAGGTAAGGGTATCAGGGATAGGAAAGCAGCACAGTGGCAATTAAAATGCTGTGCTTGTCAGTTGAAAAGTGGGTAGCCCGGGTTCAAGACCTGAGCACCCTAGAATGTGGTCAACTCCCGTCCTCACCCCAACTCCTGCTAACCTAGCAGTTTGAAAGCAGGAAAATGTGAGTAGATAAATAGATACCACTTTGATGGGAAAGTAACAGCACTCTGTAACAGCATTGGCTCAATGGCCATGAAACGGAGATGAGAAATGTCCCCTATAGCTGGCAACGACTGGCAGAGTAAAATCCCTAGGGACTCTTTTACTTTTATCTGGGATAGGATAGAACTGGTGAAAATGTTAACTCACAACCACATTCACAATTGAGGGAGGCACATGTTGTAAAGATGAAGAATAGTATAAGTGAGTCAGGCCATATTAAATCATTTTGATTTAAACGATTAAATGATCTAATATATATAATGTATTGAGTATGTTTGTGCACTTTACATAAAAATGGTTTTGGAGGAACTGGTTTATTTATTGCAATAGCTGAACTATTGGGACTGGACAGAATATAATTCTTTAAAAAGACTATCAATGTAGATGTGTAAGTGTAGCACAGTAAAATATAACATTAAGAAACTACAGATATTAATTCAAAACAGCTGTTTAAATAAGCCAACAATCTATAAATATTGAAGAGCCTTTTCATTGCTATGATTTAATATTTAATGTAGTGTTAATCCAGTTTCTGTAAGCAACACCAGAATGTTTCCTTCCTGCCTTCCTTATAGGATTAAGCCAGTAATTTCTTCTAACAACTGGTTCTTCGAACTGCTTATAGTGTTAACAACCGGTTCTAGCAAATAGGTGTGAACTGGTAGAATCCCACCCCTGGTATGCATCATAAATAATCTGTATCCATGTCATGTAAAGACTCAGTCTAAGGGAAAGAAAAATATGTCTTAGAATTTCAAAGAAGCAACATCCACATATAGTTATTGGTGCAGCTTCACTCTGGCACTTTATACTGTAATCCAGATATAATGTCTTCTGACATTACCATTATAAGATCTTATAAAGATCACAGAGGTATGCAGAAATCTAATAGCCACCAGGTTATTTAATACACTTCCTTATATTAAGGTGCTTATGACAGAATCAGAAGAAAAATATTTAACATGGAGAAACTTCCATATCCACCCTTTATTTGCCCCTGCATATATTTTGCCCCCACTTGCCCTAAAATCAACCGTGGCATTTATAATTCCATGGTGTAATGATTTTCTTTGCCTTACCTTCTGTTATTCTATTGTATGTTGTCAAAAACACCTAGACAAATCTTCAGTTTATTGCATCACTCTTTAAAATTAATTCTGAGGTATAAAAAATAAATAGTTTTGACCCTTGTAATATGCCTCACATTTTTTCATCTATTTGACATGAAAAAACTCCTCTTGCCTTTCACCCACATAAAAAGAAAACCGTCTTTTCTTTATGAGTTGCTTTTTCTCTTCATTTAAAAAGCTAAATATATTCACCATTTCTCTTCCATAGAATAGTTGTAGGAAATAATGTTAAGATATCTCAAATCATCAGTTTCCATAACAAATCAATCTTTTAGTATTTTGGTGACATTAAACTTTGCAGAAATCTGCAGGATTCTTTACTTAAATTCTTTTAAATCCTTACTTTGAAGACCTCACAAAATTTGTGAATTACATATGCTTTATGTCAACCAAAGACAAAATGTCATTCTAGATCAAAATATTGTTTTATATATCACTTAAGAGCAATCTATCATTGTTATAAAATTGTCAGAATTTTCTTGGTTATAGTTCTGTAGCCTGTGCTTGTCATATTTACCTTATTCTTCTTTCTCTTTCGGTGAAATCTTAACAATTCTTTATGTTGTCTTGACACAAAATTTACAGCTGCATACTCCAGAAGCGCCGAGAACACAAAAAGCAAGCAAACAGCCATCCAGATGTCAATAGCCTTGACATATGATACCTATACATAGTACAGAGTAGAAGATTGCTGGTATAAAAACATAGGACAGTGTAATGTCTCAAAATGTCAAGGGAAGAAAATGTGTCTCCTTAAATCATAGTAAAGAGTGAACTACAACAAAAGAATAAAAGAGGACAATCTGTATGTCCTACAAGCAACATTATTAGAAAGGCATTTTAGTGTCAAAGCAGTATCTTAAGACTTTATGACGTTCCATGTTAGGAAAAAATATGCTATATCACCTGAAGTAATCATCAGAGGTTATTCATAGTGAAAGGCAGAAAACTTTGACTCAAATTACTGAATGTTTGGTATTCCATTTATGATGCTTTATGTCTTGCATCATTCTACAAGAATTATCAGGTAAACAAATCAGATTGACATAACTGCCACAATTTGTTTTCTGGAAAATGAAATAAAATAATTTAGTTTGTTTTTAATTTTTTTAAAAATAACTTACTTTTCTTATGGCAATGGATATGTGGTGGCTTGACTAATGCTACTTTTCAATAATAACCATGATTACAGAAAGAAATGTAGAACCCTATTATAAAAGTAATGTAGTAATTCATACTATATTGTAAAGCCTGCCTTATTTAGACAGTATATATCTTATAAGATGCAATGACATATTTACCGTATTTGCCGGCGTATAAGACGACTTTTTTGCCCTAAAAAACATGCCTCCAAGTGGGGGGGTCGTCTTATACGCCGGTAAATACATTGTCACTCGGTGCAAGAGCGACGGGGGCGGAGCTCCGCAACTTGCGAAGCCCCTTCAAGCCCAGCCGGAGTCTCTCTTCCTCCTCCTCCTCCCACCC